TAAAAAAAAAAAAAAATTCAATGGAAAAAATATCCTCAAGTGAGGATTAACAAAATAGAGTAAAGTAGAACCTCCAGCTGTCTATCAAAAAATAAATAAATAAACATGAATCTTCTCTGGAGGAGTCTACATTTAACTCAGACTTTAAATAATTCTCATAGATAAAATTCCCAGGAAAAGGAATTCACAGTAAAAAAAAAAAATTACTAAACAAACAATGAAAAACTATGAGGAGAATCCAGTAAAAATAATGGGCAACAAAATTAGATCTAGTTGGTTGGAGCATCGTTTCATACGCCAAAAGGTCTCGGGTTCGATTCCAGGTCAGGGCACATACCCAGGTTTCGGGTTCTATCCCCCGTTGGGGTGTGTAAGGGAGGCAACCAATTAGTTTCTCTCTCTCCCCCCCCCCTTTCTCTCTCCCTCTCCTAAGCAGTTTTTTTTAAATGGATAAATCTAAACAAATATTGACTGGCTAAAATAGTAATCTCTTGGAGAGTTAAAAACAAAGGCAGAGTTTAAATACATGGCATCATTGATGTAAAAGGAAGAGACGATCAGAATTCAGGTGTTTGAAGTCTCTGCGGGGATGCTGCCTGTAATTTCTAGGATAGTTGCTGAAAGACTAGAAACGGCTGCATAGCTTACAAATTAAAAGGGGGGTAATAGAATGAGAAAAAAAGTCTAAAAGAAGGCAAGAAAGAAGATGAAAGATGGGACAAATCACATAGCAAAGGTGGAAAATAAACATACATCAACAATTAGAATAAATGTAAAGGGACCGAATGATCAGGTTAAAAGAAAACATGGGCAGGATGGGGAAACTCAACTGTATGGTGTATAACAGATACAGCTAAAGGATATGAAAACATATCAGGTTAATACTAATCAAAAGGAAATTGGCTTAACTATATTCATATTGCTAGAGATAGAGGGCTAATGCTATTTTTATAATGGCAAAAGACCAAATTTACCAGCTGGGTATGACATTTCTAATCTTATATGCCCCTAATTATGTAGCCTCAGCATATATAAAACAAAAGTTGACAGAAGTACAAGGAAAATTCACTACCATAGTAGAAGATTTTAACATTGCCTTAGTATTTTGTCAAGCAGAAAACAGTAAGGGTGTAGTACCTCTGGTAGAACTTTCTGAGATGGTGGAAATATTCTCTGTGCTGCTCAGTGTAGCAACTACAAGTTACATGTGGCTGTTGAGCTCTTGAAATGTAGCTAATATGACTGAGGAGGTTACATTTTTTTAATTTAATTTCAATTCATTTAACTTTAAACAGCCACATGTTTCTAGTGGCTGTGTTATATTGGACAGCACATATAGAGAGGATATGATTAATTTTCCCATATATATATATATATAATTTTGATGTATAAAGAGATTGATGAAGAAGAAAGGGAAAAGGCAAGAAAAACCCCTATTACCGCCCTGGCCGGTGTGGCTCGGTTGGCTGGGCGGCGTCCTGTGCATCAGGAGGTTGCAGGTTCGATTCCGGTCAAGGGCACATGCCTGGGTTGCAGGCTCGATCCCTGGTGGGAGGTGTGCAGGAGGCAGCCGATCAATATTGCACTCTCACATTGATCTTTCTCTCTCCCTCTCCCTTCCTCTCGCTACAATCAATACACTTTTTTTTTTTTTTTTTAAAGGAACAGCTGTGACCCACTCCCTACAACCTCTGGGATCAAGTCCCACCCAACCTCCAACATCCGTCAGGGAGGGGATTGNTACACTTTTTTTTTTTTTTTAAAGGGGGGAAGGTGGAGGGATTGAGAAAAAAAAAAAAAGAGGACTCTTGGATGTGGACAGCAGTGTGCTAACTGCAGGGTGGGAGGGGTGGGTGGAGGTGGCAGAGGGCATAGAGAGCACAAATGATGCTGGAAAAAATAATAAAAGACAAAAAACCCACAAATTTTAAAAACCCTGCTAGTAATGAAAGTGTGTTCTGGAGGCTGGTGCTGACTGTGGGCTGGGACCTCAGCTGGGCCGTTGAACAGACGGTCACCATGCGCCCTCTCCATGTGGCTTGGGATTCCTCAGGTGACTGCAGTGCCTGCCTGCCTGCCTGCCTGTGATTTGCTCTTGGTGACACAAACGGTCCCTGCCAAACCTTCATTTAATTGCCGATTCAGGAGCAAAATAGGTGGTTGTCTTAAGCTGCTAAATTTTTGGGTTTGTTGTACAGCAATTGATGATTGGAACAGGCACTTGGAAATACACTTAAATATTGGGGGGGGAATATATACATATATATATGTATGTATGTATATATATATATATATATATATATATATATATATATATATATAAAACAGCCTTTAAAGAAGAGTGTATAGTATGTTCATGGATTGAAACATTTCACCCTAAAGATGTCACTTTTCAAATTTACCTATGGATTCGAGGCAGTTCCAGACAAAATCTCTAGATATTTTTGTGAACCTTTCAACTTATACTATCAATAGGCCCAAAATAGTCAACATGTAAAACGAGGTGGGATTTGCCTTACCAGATATCGGTGATTTTCAAAAAGCTGTGGTCATTAAGACAGAAATATTGGTGAAGCACTAGAAAAACTGACCCACAGCACAGAATAGAGATGCCAGAAACGGACTGATATGTAAGAAAACTTAGCTTATGACAGAGAGAGCAGATCAGCGGGTCAGTGATGGATGTTTCATTAATTGGGTCTTGCACCATGCACAGATACGAGTTCTAGTTGAGGTAAACACCTGAATGGGAAAGTCAAAGCTATAAAGTGTTTAGAAGACTGTATTGTGGGTTCTAGGTTTTTCTTTTTACACCTGACAAGAAAGGTCAAACCATAAAAGTAGCTGATATGGTAAAACTCAACTCCATTAAAGTTAATGACTTTTTATCAAATGATTCTGAAACCCTGGCTGGTGTGGCTCAGTGGTTGGCATGTCAGCCCAGGCACTGAAAGGTCGAGGGTTCAACTCCCGGTCAAGGGCACGTACCTAGGTTGCAGGTTCAGTGCCAGCCCTGGTTGGGCCGCGTGCTGGAGGAACCGATCGATGTGTCTCTCTCACGTCGATGTTTCTTTCTGTCTCTGTCTCTCTGTACACCCCCGACCCCGCCCTCTCTCCCCCCCTTCCACTCTGAAAAATTAATGGTGCCCTGGCTGGTTTGGCTCAGTGGTTAGAGCGCGATGGCCTGTGGACTGAAGGGTCGCGGGTTCGATTCTGGCCAACGGCACCTGCCTCGGTTGCAGGCTCAGTCCTGGGCCCCAGGCGGGGCCCGTGCAGGAGGCAACCAATCGACGTGTCTCTCTCACATCAGTGTCTCTCTCTCTCTCTTTTTCTCTCCCCTCCACTCTCTCTGAAAAGCAACCCAAAAAATATCCTGGGGTGAAGGTTAACAACAACAAAAAAGATGCTGAACAGAGTAAAAAAAAAAAAGGCGAGGTACAAGTCAGGAGAAGGTATTTGCACCATATATAACCGATAAAGATCAGTATCCAGAATTTACACGGAAATCCTAGGAGACAGGAGGGGAAAGTCAGAGAACCCAAAAGATAAACGGACAGGACTTCAGCAGGTGGTTCCCTGAAGGGGAAGTTGGAGTGGCCAGTGAACCTGTTTCTGCTCAGTGCCTCGGGCTCGGCATCGTCACTGTCGCCGTAAGAGAAGCGGCCCTGAATAGAGCGTGCGCGGAGAAGGTGTGACGCTAGGGGGTTAGGACTGAACCGTGAGCCTGCGCTGGGGCTGAGAGGACAGCTTCAGGAAGGCTCCCCAGCCGTGGGTCTCAGCCATGCTGAGCCTCAGCCACAGTGATTTTCCGACAGGATGGTCGGTGGGGGACAGACTGTGAAAATAGGGAGTCGGGGGCCTTGGATCACGTCGGTGAGCGCTTGTGAAGGGCGTGGAGGGTGCTGTTCCCTTACACCGGCTGCCATGGGGCCCAGCCGAGCGAGCGGAGCCTTGCAGCCCTGCTCGGGAACCTTGACCAGGAGGAGCTGCTGGAAGGTTTCCGCAAGGCTGACGCGAGTGTCTGCGGAGCCTGGCAGGATCGTGGAGTCGAGAGTAGACGTCAAGTATATCATTTATCACAGCAGAATATCACAAATAGCCCAAAAACTCAAATAGAAAGAAATTGGTTTTAAAAACGAATCCTGCCCTGGCCAGCGCGCTCAGTGGCTAGTTAGGGTGTCAGCCTGCGCTCTGAAGGGTCTCGGGTTCTATTCCCAGCTGAGGGCACACACCTGGATTGTACCTGGATGGAGGGTCTGCTCCCCGCCGGGCCGGTGCCGAGCCTGCGGAGGCAGCCAGTCCCTGTCTTTCTCTCTCTCCCCACCCCCCTCCTCTCTCTCCCTCCCTCCCTTCCACTCTCTCTGAAAAGCACCAGCAAAAATATCCTCAGGTAAGGATTAACCAAGAAAAAAAAAAAAAAGAATCCTGACACACAATATGTACGTGTGAAACACAGGTAACAAAACACATGTACAACGTGATTTCAGTTTTGTTGAAAAAAGCGTATCGGAAATGCACCAACATCCTTACAGCTTCTTTCTGGATGGTGGTATTTTACACAACCTTCCCTCCCTGTCCTTCCTTCTTTCCTTCCTATTTTTCAATATTTTTTATTGTAATATAAGTGTGTAATTTGCAGTATCAGAATACAAAAGAACATACTTTTTAAATTAAAAACAGTAGAAGCTGGCCCGGCCGGCGTGGCTCAGGGGTGGAGCATCGACCTGGGATCCAGGAGACGGGTTCCATCCCAGTCGGGGCACACGCCCGGGTTGCGGGCTCGATCCCCAGCGGGGGGCCTGCAGGAGGCAGCCGATCGATGACTCTCATCACTGATGTTTCTATTTCTCTGTCCCTCTCCCTTCCTCTCTCTGACATCAATAAAGATTTTGATTTTTATTTTTTTAAAAAGAAGGAGAAGCTAGTTAGTGGCTCCGAGAGCTGCTGGCCCCCCGGGCCCGTGGCGCTCTTCCCTCGGTGTTTGGAAAGGACCCCGGCTGACCGGCCCGTGTCTGGCTCTGCAGCACAAGAGGAAGCGCCGCTCCACGCCTCTGGCTTCTCCCTCGCCGCCCCCGCCGGAGCCGGAGCCGGAGCCGGAGGCCGAGGGGCTGTCCCTGCAGACGGTGATGGCCGCCCTGCAGGCCGTGGAGCAGAGGATGGAGGCCCAGGCCGCCCAGCTGCAGAGCCTGGAGAGACGCATGGAGACGGCCGAGAAGAAGCTGGCCGACTTCGAGAAGACGACCCTGGAGTTCGGGAACCAGCTGGAGGGCAAGTGGGCCGTGCTGGGGACGCTGCTGCAGGAATACGGGCTGCTGCAGAGACGGCTGGAGAACATGGAGAACCTGCTGCGCAGCAGGAACTTCTGGGTCCTGCGGCTGCCCCCGGGCGGCGCGGGCGAGGCCCCCAAGGTAGGCCTTTCTTTCCTTCGGGACCCGGAGCCGCGGGCTCTTCCCTGGCAGCCAGCGCTCACTGTGTGACGTCCACGACTCCAGGTGTCCCGGTCCCTGGAGAGCGACGGGGTCTGCATCTCGGAGCAGGAGTGGGAGAACCTGGAGGACTGGCAGAAGGAGCTGTACCGGAACGTCATGATGAGTAACTACGAGACGCTGGTCTCCCTGAGTAAGAGCCGTTCCCCCCGGGTTCCCCTGGGCAGCCGCAGTTCCCTGCCTGGGCCGGGCTGGGAGTGGGGAGGCCCCAGGCCCTCGGCTGACGCAGGCGTTCGGAGAGGTCATGGTGTCCGGCCTTTCTTCTCTGTACTCACATAGTCAGATCTTTTTTATTTTATTTTTTTTAATCCTCACCTGAGGATATTTTTTCTATTGATTTTTTAGAGAGTGGAAGGGAGATGGGGAGGGGGAGAGAGGTGAAGAGAGACACGTCAATGTGAGAGAGACGCATCAGTTGGTTCCCTCCCGAATGCGCCCCGGGTGCCCTTGACTGGAATCGAACCCCCTTCGGTGTGGCACCCGACGCTCTCACCACTGACCCACACCGGCCAGGGCCAGATCGTGATAATATTTACTAATAGGTAAAATGTCAGGCCTGGCTGGCGTGGCTCAGCAGTTGAGCATCGACCTAGGATCCAGGAGATCGAGGTTCGATTCCTGGCCAGAGCACATGCCTGGGTTGCAGGCTCGATCCCCAGTGGGGGGCGTGCAGGGGGCGGCCGATCAGTGACTCTCTCACCATTGATGTTTCTCTCTCTCTCCTTCTCTGAAATCAATAAAGACATATTTAAAAAAAAAAAAAAAAGACGTCACCATATGCTTTATAGTATATCATGGCTGGGGTTCCTCGTGCTGTTTTGTTTTTTGGGGTTTTTTTAATATGTCTTTATTGATTTTATTTTATTTTTTGAAATATATCTTTATTGATTTCAGAGAGAAGAAGGGAGGGGAGAGAGAGAGAGAGACATCAATGATGAGTCATTGATCGCGGCCTCCTGCAGGCCCCCCACTGGGGATGGAGCCCGCAACCCGGGCATGGCCCCGACCGGGAATCGAACCTCGATCTCCTGGATCCTAGGTCGATGCTAATACTTAAGCCTATCTGATAAGGAATCCTTCGTTACCTGGGATGAGACAGGCAGGACAGGCTAACCAAAAATTGTCCCGGGCACACGGCTGGAATCACAGCCAGTCGTGGTGTCAGTATTTATTTCTGTGTCGATTAGAAAGTGCTGCTTAGTAGGTATGTATATATCTTGATATGCAAAATATTAGCTGTTATATTATAAATGCATTTTGTTTGGTAGACAAAATCTTTTACAACCTAGGTCCCTGGAGGATTGTTAAGAAGGCCACTGGGACTGGAGCAGAGCGGAGGGGACAGGAAAGTAGCCAAGGGGGTCAGAGAAGTCACTGTGACCTCGGCTGCGTCATGTGTTCTGCTAGTGGCTGTCACCTTGTCTGTCACGGGCGTGGGATACGCGCCCGCCTTACCTTGCAGTGCTTTAGCTCAGGTGACGTTAGGTACCTGGAAGGAAGTAGATACGTACGTGGGAGGGTGCAGTGGTCTTGGCGAGACGAGCGACGGGCTCCTCGCCTGACCGCTGAGCCACAATAACTAATGAAGGAGCACCGAGGGGGCGGTCAGCCGAATGCATAATTCCAGTGGACCATCGTTTTCTAGTCGTGCCAGACTGCTAGGGGAAAGTGACAGGAACAATACTTCGGACCTCATGAAGTTTTAATATCGACCCCTTGACGTTGGTCACCTTGCTGATCAGCAGATGACTGGCGTGCAATGAGATTTTACTCTCTCGGGCTCACACTGTGCCGTTTCCAACCCAGAGGTCCTCGGCCAGCCGGAAGGAGAAGCCGAGTTGGGTACGGAGATGCTGGGAGACCTGGAGGAGGAGGGCCTTGGTGGTGTCCACCCAGGTGAGTGGCTCCAGAATATTCCGCTTCTCCCCTCCCCACGCCCCGCAGCCTGTAGTGAGCTTTCCCACTGCAAACAGCCAGACACCGAGTATCAGTAACCTCGTGCGGCATTGATTTATTCTAGGCTCCTTTATGCTTATCATGAGCCCACCTATTTATGTGTGGGTCTTAACGCCCTCCCGCTATGCGGAATCCTTGGGATTCGTGCCCTGCAGAGGAGAGTGCATGGTAGACATTTGTGGAAACCCACAGGGCGCTGAGGAGGGGGTTGGTCACAGCTTTGGGGTGAAGCTGACTGGGAGAGATGCAGGGAAAGCACTCGTAAGTCCGGTGATCTGGGGAATGTGCAGGGACCACAGAGCTTGATGCGCGAGTCTTTAAGCTATAGGTTTAGTTTTTTGTGTTTTGTTTTTTAATCTTTCTTATTTATTATTTTAACACTCCTAAATTAGTACAGTTTTCAGTGTATTTAGCTGTTTTTCAGAGATCGAATCCAGTCTGTGGACAAGCTTGGAGAGCTGTCATTTACAGCGTTGTTCCGTGGTAATAGTAATAACATATTCAGATTTCCAGGGCGCTCGTCCCCGCCTGAGCGCGGGATTCGCTCTCCGGCTGTGGGAGCCCGGGCAGGCTCACCCTTCTCCAGGCCGTTCTTACCCCCTTGTTCCTTCCATTTGGGCCCCTCTGGGATTCACAGGTGTTTGTTTAGCTCGGAAGGCGCCAGAATGTGATCTCCTTTGTTTGTTTTCTTGGTTTTGTCAGCAGAAGGGGTTGTAATCAAGCAGGAGATCGAGTACCCGCCCGAGCGCTCTGAGGACCTTCCCGGGGAGCTCCCGGGCCCCGCCGAGGAGCAGACTTTCCTGAGCCCGGAGCAGACCGAGCTCTGGGCCACGCAGGGCGGGCCCGGCCTCTTGGAATCCGAGCCCAGGGACGCTAGTCTAGAGGAGCCTGTTGAGGGCGGCAGAGACCCCAGCGGTGACAGAAGCCTCGGCTGCCCCCCGAAGCAGAAATCCATCAGGCCCGCGCCGCTGGGCCCGGAATGCGGGCCGGGCCTGAAGCTGAGCAGGGAAGCTTTCGGCCCCTACGACTGCCCCGAGTGTGAGCTCAGCTACCGCTGTGAGCAGCAGCTGGCCACCTACCTGCGGACCCACGCGGCGTGGGAGCCTTCCACCGCCCCGGAGCCCGAGGAGAGCCTCCGGCCCAGGCCGCTGCTGAAGCCGCCACCCAAGAAGACGAAGCAGCACCAGTGCGACGTGTGCGCGCGGAGCTTCAGCAGCAAGGCCAACCTGGCCAACCACCAGCGCAGCCACGCCCAGGAGGGGCCCAGCGGCGGCCCGCGCGTCCAGGAGAGGTTCTCGCCCAACAGCCTGGTGGCCCTGCCCGGCCACATCCCCTGGAGGAAGAGCCGGAGCTCCCTCATCTGCGGTTACTGCGGCAAGAGCTTCATGCACCCGTCGGACCTGGTGCGCCACCAGCGCATCCACACGGGCGAGCGGCCCTACACCTGCCCCGAGTGCGAGCGGAGCTTCGTCCAGAAGCAGCACCTCCTGCAGCACCAGAAGATCCACCAGCGGGAGCGCGGCGCGCTGGCCCTGGAGCAGGGGAGGCCCAACGGCCTGCTGTAGGGGCGCCGGCCCCTCGCCTGTCCGGGGGGCCGAGGGGGCTGGGTGGGTCCCCCGAAGAGACACTGGGCGGGGTCAGGGACGGACTGACTGCTTCCCGAGGGGCGTGGCCTCGCCTTGGCTGGCCCGGCCCCAGAACCGCGTGGGGGGGCCCGGGGCCAGGCCCGCCCTGCCGTCTGCCCTGCTGCTGAGTCCGCGGGTCCTCGGCGCCCTCAGGTCTCGTGCTTTCCCGTCCGCGCCGACGCTCGTGCGCTGGGGCTGGTTCGAGGGTCCGTCCCGGTTTTTCAGGGCTTCCCACGGGGTGGAGTCAGGCCAAAGGCGTGAGCAGGTGTGCGGCAGAGCTCTGGGAAGCATAATCCCCCATTCCTCCTCTTTTGTAGCCTCCTTGTTAATAATAAAGTAGAAGAAATAATTTAAATGAACCGCTCGCCCTGCTCCGAAGAACCTTTTTGGAGTTAGATTTTAGTTAATTTTAATAAAATATAGCCCAACACTTGTTTTTTTTTTTTTAAATTTCCCAAGTCGTAGAAGTTGTTCCCAGCATGGAACCGGGCCTGCCATCTGGGAGGGAACCGTCTCTGGGGCTCTTCCAGCCCACGCGCGCTCCGTTAGCCCGGCGACCGGGGTGCACAGCACGGGCTCCCTGTTGTGAGGGGTCTCGGCGCGCTGGGACGGGGCTCACTGAATCAAAAGGACCACGAGGGGGAGGGCAGCGGGGGGGGACCCCAAGGCCCCCACTGAGAAAGAGGAGCTGAGAGTTCGGGGCTCGGGCGTCTCCCCACAGCTCTCTTCCCCTTGCATCCCCAGCCTCGCAGGGTAGAAGGCTCCCTTGTTACTTAAGGTTGTTCGGCTTGTATCAGCTTGTATTTGAGTTTGTTCCTGCCAGACCAGTTGTTCCTTGAGGTTGTCCAGGTGACACACTTTCCCACCTAGTCCTGGGCGCGACTGTTCCAGAGGCGATGGAGGGGAGGCGCCCGGCGCTCTTCTCCCCGAGCCCCCGAAGCCTGCGCGCTCTTGCTTGGGAGTGGGCTCCTGGGTCCTGTGTGAGTGTCCCCTTCGATGACTTGGCTGTTGCTTAGAATAAAACTTGGTCCTGGCAGAAAAAAAAAACAAAGTGCTCACGTTGGGTGTTTTTCGCCGGCTGTCGAGAAGACCCTCCTGGGAGCAAGGCGGAGGCGGCGCGGGGCCTGGGGCAGGGACAGGGACTTGAACGCAGAGCGGATGAGAAGAGGGCGCGTGGGGGGGACCCCGTGGGTGCGGGTTGAGGGCTGCAGACAGCCGGGGTGTCGGTTGCCGGAAGGCAGTAGGGGGGGCGGGCGCCCCAGGGAGCACTGGGGAGCCACTGGGGACGTCGGCTTCTATATACGAGTGGTCACGTGGGTTGACCTTAAACATACGGTGCCGGGTGGAAAATGTAAGAAACTGAATGAGACCCTATGACAATACCATTTATGCAAATTAAAAGTGCACGTACACAAAACAGACCAGAACACGTAGAACCCAAAAGTTACACATTAAAGGCATCACTGCCCTGGCTGGAGCGACCCGGTTGGTTGGGCATCGCCCAGGCACCAGAAGGTTGCTGGTTTGATTCCCAGTGGGGGACATTCAGGAGGCAGCGGATTGATGTTTCACTCTCAGATCAGTGTTCCTCTCCCTTCCTCCAGAAGAATCAACCCAAAAAATCTTTTTTTGTTTTAATTTTTTTTTTGTTTTTTAATTCTCACTCCAGGATATTTTTTCCCATTGCTTTTTCAGAGAGAGTGGGAGAGAGAGAGAGACATTGATGTGAGAGAGGCACATCGAGTGGTTGCCTCCCACTCGCGCCCCAACCAGGGCCGAGCCTGCAACCAAGGTACGTGCCCTTGGCCAGAATCGAACCCGGGACCGTTCAGTCCACCGGCCGACGCTCTAACCCCTGAGCCAAACCAGCCAGGGCAATAAAAAGAAATCTTAAAATAAAATAAAGGAGTCACATTCGCCCATGGGAGGAGTAGGATATGGGGATCAAAAGGAACAAATAAATAGATTAAAAAAAATTAAAAGAATTCAGAGAATAATTACAGTTAGCTGTGGGACACTGGGGAGGCTTTCTGGGGGGTGACTTTTGAACTGGACCTCTGCACAGGTAGAAGAGGGCGTTCTAATGGAGCGGCTCGGCCAAAATAGACATCATGGGCATGTACAAATATGTGCCGATTCATTATTTGGCCAGAGGGTGGAGTGTGAGCAGGGGAGTACTGGGGGGTGCGGTTGGAAAGAGAGGTTGGGGTCGGGCTAAGGGGTTTGGGTTTTACTGAGTGCGTAATGGGGAGCTGAGAGTTTTGAGCAAAAGGGTGACCTGATTCTAGCTGTGATTTCGGAATATTAACCTAAGAAGAGTTCATATCATGCTTTTTTGTTGTTGTTGGGATGGAGGGATATATATGTTAGAAGGTTTTTTAGGTGAGACCAGCAAGAGTCAGTGAGACCTGACTGGGGGCAGCTGCAGTGAGTGGGAAAGCGACAGACAGGACAGAGGGGCAGGACTGACAAGGCAGCCAGACAGAGAAGGACAAGTATCGTGTGGCTTCACTCGTGTGGGATCTAAGGAACAAAATAAACTGACAGCCCGGCCGGGCCTGGCTCAGCGGTTGAGCGTCCACCCAGGATCCAGGCGATCGGGGTGCGATTCCCAGTCAGCGCACATGCCCCAGTTGCAGGCTTGATCCCCAGTCTGGGGCCTGCAGGAGGCAACCGATCAATGACTCTCATCACTGATGTTTCTGTCCCTCCCTCTCCTTTCCTCTCTATGAAATCAATAAAGACATATTTTAAAAATAAATAAATAAATAAAAAATAAACTGACGAACAAAGTAGGTCCAGGGGCATGGAACAGACGGACAGATCTCAGAGGGGAGGGGGGTGAAGGGGAGGAGAAGAGATTAACCAAAGAATCTATATGTGTGTGCGCATAGCCCATGGACACAGACAATAGAGTGGTGAAGGGGGGGGCGCGCGGCTGGGCGAAGGGAGGGAAATTGGAGGACATCAGTAATACTGACAATAAAAAAAATTAAATTTTAAGAAGATTGACAAGCCCAGCCAGGTGTGGCTCAGCGGTTGAGCGTTGACCTAGGATCCAGGCGATCGGGGTTCGATTCCCAATCAGGGCACATGCCTGGGTTGCAGGCTCGATCCCCAGTCGGGGGCCTGCAGGAGGCAGCCGATGGATGACAACTCTTTCATCATCGATGTTTCTCCCTCTCTCTCTCCCTCCTCTCCCTTCCTCTCTCTGAAATCAATAAAGATATATTAAAAAAAAAAAAAAAGATTGGCAAGGTAGAGTCAACAGAATGTGATGCTTTTTGAGACAGGGACTATGTCTCAAAAAGCTCCGAGCACAGGGTTTACCACATGCTTATTGCATGAACAGGTATAAGGGGAACTCACAGAACAGGGAGCTCAGTGGTGCCTGAACTAGGGTGGGCTTCAAGGAGGAAGGGGGCCTTGGTCTCACTTCTGTTCTCCCTCTACTAATACTTTCCCTCCTAAGCTTTACACACCTGGGCAGGTCCACTTTAAAAACTGATACCTTCTCCTTCTCTGGAATTTGGGGCCAGGTTAGGATGTGTTACTTTAAGGTAACAAGGGACCAAATCAGTAGATGGCATCGTTCATTGTGAACCTCCTTGTTGAAGCAACGCGACCTAACAGACAGTTTGCAAATGAGCGCTGAAGGCATTAAGAGGGTCCCTAGTGCGGACCCTGAGAAGAAAGATTCGTTTGATGTGAACCCCAAGATGGAACTTATCCACTGAGATGGGCTCCCCGTGGTCAACCGAGGGCCCAAGTTTTATAAATAATAAAGAACCTAGCGGCCATTTGCTGACGGGCTCCTGGCTCTACACCAGGCACAACCACAGCCTGAACTCTGTGCCCCGCCCTGTTCCCCTGCTTTTTGCACTGAGTCAACCTCTGCAGGGAAACCCTGGTTTCATCTCCCACCAACGGACTCCCACCTGCCTTGTCCTATCAGAACGGCACGACTTTGACACCTCACATAAAAAGGACCTAATTGAGCCCTGGCCAGTGTGGTTCAGTGGTTGGAGCATCCGCCGGAGCACCAAAGGGTTGGGGGTTCGATTCCCTCGGGGTCAAGGGCTCGTACCTGGGTTGCAGGTTTGCTCCCTGCCCCAGGCTGGGGCCCCTGTGGTGGGAGACAACCAGTCTGTGTGTCGCTCTCTCCAATCTGATGTTCCTCTCTCCCCCCCTCCCTCCCTTCCTTCCTCTCTCTCTCTCTGAAAAAGCAATGGAAAAAATATCCTCTGGCAAGGATTAACAGACAAACCAAAAAAAGTACCTAATTGAGAACCTGGGCGGGAACTTTCACGATAAAAAAACGACCTCCCCTCCCCTTTGTCTTGGTGGAACAGTTTGGGTTACTACCTTAGTCTGTGTCTCCAGACTGCGGTTCATTTTTTTTTTTGCTCAAATAATTGCCTTTTATTCTTTATGACAGGCTAAAATCCATTAAGGATTGTAAAATACCGGTCAGTTGTGATCTTAGAAAAGAAGAATTAATGCCCAATGCAAACAGAAGAGTTTTGGGGGCTTGTTGGACCAAGATTCTAAGATGAATGGGAAATGCAGGAAAGGTAGAAAATAAAACTTACATTGCATACAGCACATTTCACTTGATATTCGGTGATTAACTCTGGTTTTCCACAGGAAGGCTCTTTGCAAACGAGGAAAACGGGCCCTACGTTGAGTACTTTATTCATAATGCCTCAGGGCCCGAATTAGGGGTGGGTTTGCTCTTGCCGCAAGCCCAGCCCCGAGCCAGAGCTGCGAGGATCCCAGCTGGTCGCTGATGTGCACGGGAAGACTGGGTGTTGTCAACGTAAGAAAACGGTTAAACCTGTAGAGAATTTTTATGAGCATATTTGAGCCAAACTGACAACAATTGCCGGGAAGCAAAATCTTAACGCCTTGAGAAAATGCTCCAGAGAATGGCAGTTTTG